AGGCCAACCTAGATCCGCGACTTCGTCACACCTACACCCAAACCCCAGAACCCAAGCCTACAAACACCTCGCGCTGATTTTGACAGCTAATTGCCCTTATCCTCGCCTTGGCACTACACCCTTAAACCCTGAAAAAACTCATAAGAAAAATGGTCAAATAAACGAAACCATGGTTGATGACAATAAGAATCGGCTGGAAGTAGGAGTTTTTGGAAGCTTGAGTGGAACAGCTTTTGAAAGTTCTTGTTGGAAACTTGCATGTATAATTAATATGTATATGTATATATATATATAGATATATATCTCTATCTTCGTTTTTGAAACCCTAAACCCTAACCCCTAAACCCTATATAGGAGGCCGTAAATGATTTCAGTCTAGGGATCAGCCCGAGGAGCTTCGTCGTGCTCTATGAGTTTCCCCGCTGCAGGTGTCTAGGGTTTAGGGTTTAGGGATCAGGGTTTAGGGTTTAGGGTTGGGATGTAGGTTGGTCACTGCGTGCTAGGAGAGGCTCTGCGTAGGATGCTCTTCTTGGACGCTTAGGGAACCCCAAAACTGCGGTGAGAGCTGCGTCGGCGTATGTATATATAAAAAATATATATATATATATATATATAGTCACAACCGCCATGGTCACATATCTCTTTATATGTAGATATAGAGCCCTGCAAGAAAGTCCCCCTGATGTACGTAGAACAGGGTGTTTATCTCCTGCTATAAGTAGGTCATGAGTGCTCACGAACCTCCCACCTTGCTCTCCCACCGTCTCTGTATGACCAGTTCCCCCCTTTCAGGGAAAGAATGCACCTATGACAGGGTTTAGGGTTTATAGGGTTTAGGGTTTAGGGTTTAGGTTTAGGCTTTGTGGACCCCTTGTGCACTAAGCATCCCGGGACCTGGGGGTTTTGGCACTCAGTGGGTCAGCGTTTCGGTGTCGGGTTTAGGGTTGGACACGGCAACGGCTGCAAGTGCGTTAGGACTGCATATCTACGGCCTGCAATAGGTGCGCCTCAGCCAGTATACCCGGCAAAGCCCCCGAAAAGTCGGGGGACTAAGCGCTAAGCCCAGACCTCTTCAAGGTACGACTTCCAGAATCAGTGCTTCCTGCACTTCAGTGAGCTGCTCGGCATGTCAGTTTGCGTACGGACTTTGCTCCCAGCAACCGCTTTCTTTAGGGGGTGGGGGTCTGCCAGCCGGCTGGCTGAGTGTCAGTAAGCCTTTTGTGTAAACCCTTGTCTATGCTCAAGAATCGAAAATAGCATAGCCACGCCTATACATACATACATATATATATATATATACACAATGTACTTGTATATAAAAAACATACATACACGCATATCTGCGGGTCCGATCTCCTAAGAACACTGCGTTAGTCACCGTTACTATGAGTGTCTATGCAGTTCTAAACCCTAAAACCCTTGTTAGCAAAATTGAGAAACCCTAAGCCGACAAAACCCGAATTAAATCCTAAACCCTGGACCCTAAACCCTAAGCCCTAAGCCCTAAACCCTAAACCCTAAACCCTAAGCAAAATGTGCCCCGAACATCGTGGCCCTGAGTCCTCAGGCGGCCCTTGCTCCCTCAGCTCACGGTGATCAGCAGCATCCTGTTCATGTTCATGATCTTGGTGTCGGCTACCCGGTTTTGGAGGCCTGAATAACCAGAATTGCTTTTGTTTTTTCTGGGGGGGGGGGGTTGGGGGAGGGGGGGGGGCGGGGTTTTGACAGTATAAGGAAATTGGGGCCCAGGGATAGAGTTTAGGATTTAGGGGGTTTCAGGCAAGAGTTTTTTTGTGGGGGTGAAGGCTGTTTGGGCGCCCAAAACCGTGGGATAGGAGGGTGTCCAGAGGGCTGTCCGGCTGTCCAGAACTCAGAGATGAGCCCTTCAAGCCGTCTTTCTGGGGTTCGGGCTCTTGGTCTGTTTCGGGTTCGGGAGCCCTAAACCCTAAACCCTAAACCCTAAACCCTAAACCCTAAACCCTAAACCCTAAACCCTAAACCCTAAACCCGGCACCCTGTGCTGCAGTAAGATTTACACTGAGGCTTGGAATCGCATCTACGTGCCGCTCGGCTGCCCTTTCAAGGCATCGCGCGCCTGCCGCGAAGCTCTCTGGATGGGGGTTTAGGGTTTAGGGTTCAGGGTTCAGGGTTTAGGGTTTACAGGGTTTACAGGGTTTTGGTTCTGGGTTTTAACCCTGCAAGCCCTATTTTCAGATCGCTGCGAATGGCCCCACACTCTAAGTCCTAAACCTTGCGAGGTTGACGATCTTGCAGCCACAGCAGCCCAACATCATCCGAGAGAGTTCGGTTGAGAGGCCTGTCCTGCCGTGCTAGCTTTGGGGCTCCCGGGTTTTGGAGCTGTATGGGGCTATTCGAGCTTACACCGGGTTTGCAGGGCTTATCGGGTTTTTGTGGTTTAGGGTGCAGATCAGTTTGGGCTGGCGCTGCTGATGCTCTTCATTGGAATCCGGGCTTGTGGCTTCGGGGGGCCATGGATATGTTCGACTGCTCAAAAACGACAGAAGTGCCTACTCATGAACTGCCCCCGAACCCTGAGACGGATGTGATTGCAGCACCTTCAAAAGCCCTTGGAACAAACCTCAGCCTGAAGTCTGAAGTTGGCCCTGAGCCCTGAACCCCCAACCCCAAACCCTAAAACCCTAAGCCCTAACACAAAACCCTAAAACCTTAACCCCAAACCCTAAACCCTAACACCAAACCTTAAAACCTTAACCCCAAAGTCTAAACCCCAAACCCTAAAACCCGAAACTCCAAACCCTATACCCTAAACGCGGCAGGCCTCCCATGGCACCCCTCTGCGCCGATCGCAGCGTGGAGTGGCGCCAGGCGAGAGCTCCAGCGCCCCCCCCACACACCCCCCCCAACCCCTTGGAGTTTAGGGTTTAGGGTTTCGGGTGTAGGGTTTAGGGTTTAGGGTTCGGGGTTCAATTTTTTAGCAGTAGCCCTAATCTGGTGCAATGGGGTTCTGAGCGCATACAAATGTTGGGCTAACAGCACCCTTGCACCTACAAGTGCGGGCCGAAGGTGCTTGGTTTGAAGGCTCAAGGGGTACGAATGACTCAAGGGTCGGGATGTTCCCCCCCTATACTAGCAGTCCTTAATGGGGATTATGATGGGGGCGTACTACAATCCCGATTCAGGGCTGCTAGTATAAGGGACAAAATCCCATCTTAGGGTTTCCTTCGGTTCTTGTTGGGGGCATGGGGCGGTTCCTGGCAAAGTCTGCAAAGTGCAAGGCGTCCCAGTAGGGAGCCATGAGAGTCAACATGTTTGCCGTTGACTAAGGCCTAGAAAGCCAGCAAAGACCCTAAGTTCTAAACCTTAAGCCCTCACCCGAAATGCCGAAAGTCCTACTTGTGCCAAACACTTAGACCGGGTCCTGCAACGCTCTTGCAGCCGCCTCCGTTCAGGTTGTGGAAGACCTCGCCAGCCGCAGCCTGTCCGTCACTTGGTTGATGCCGAAAGAATATTTGAACACATGTAACATCGTAACCCTAAACCCTCTGAATCCTAAAACCCTGAACCATAAAACCTAAGCCACCCGATTTCTTAGAGACAACAGCCCAGGTCAGTGAACTGGTGGACTTCTACGCCAAGCTGGGCCCTGGCGGGACTATGCCGCCCCTCGGGTCGAACTCTTACTTGTGTCATATTGGGTTTAGGGTTTAGGGTTGTTCTAAATTGTGGCCCCTATAGTTTAGTTCCTGTGGCCAGTTCGGAACCTTTGCATCCAAAAAAGGTGACCCTACCCTAGAAAGCTGCCCGGATATGTTTCTGCCATTTGGAGGCACTGCCAGATCTGCTGGCTTCCTTTGCCTTGGTGGCCCAGTGGTACCCTTTACCCCTTTTTTTTTGGCTTCTGGTTTCCCTTATCAAATAGCCAACTCAAAAAAAGGGTGCCCTTATTACAATGCGGTTACTGGGCCACCAAGTTGCAAAAGTCCTGTGACAATGTGGCTTCTGAGGCACTTTTGCCCAGACACGTCAACCACTGCGGATGTGGTGCGGCAGGCAGTCGCGGGCCCCATGCACGAAACGCTTGGGCTCAAAGCCCCAAAGCCCACAGGTGCTATGGGCTTCTACACTCCTATTTAGCGCCCGAACACCCTGAGCCACTCTGCGAACGGTCTTCCTGAGTCTTGCCGAAGAATCGGCAACCCTGAAATCGGACGAGAAATAGCTGCTGACACAATGCCCCTGCATCTCCTATGATACACTCTTCATTGCCCAGCAATGCCTCGTCTGGTGAGAAAGGCTCCCTCTTTTTTAACAACCAGAAAGCCAAGCTCCTGAAAGCGGAGGCCATCATCCCCATGTCGCGGCAGGGGTCCAGTGGCACCTTCTACACCGCCACCCTGCAGGACGAGCCGAAGCCCGAAAGGCCCTCAATCCTAAACCGAAGAGGCTACGCCCGTAAAGGGTTCAACAGTGCTAGCACACTGGCCTGAATCATGGCCAGTACGATCCTCTTATTATAATCATAATTCGTCCCCCTAGCTATGTTACAAACGATAACTACCCGAGGTAAACTATCCAAAGCATACTCAGTCTACTTCAACGCCTCTATGCCTGGGCCATGCCAGTCTTGATGCGCAAGACGTGTGTGTACATTGACGGAGCCACAAAAGCCGCATAAGCCAAGTCTGCAGGGAAAGTGCAATGAGGCCGCTACACAAATTACTGGACAAACTCTTAAGCAGCTATTGCAGGATGATTGCAATTATTTGGGTGTTAGGGTTTTGGAGCTTTGGGTTTGGGTTCCGGGTTCATGGTTCCGGTTTTAAGTCGCTTTAAAGAGGTTGGCGATGGTCTGAGAACTGCCACTTCAACCTCCCTGAGCCAAAAGGAACCCGAAGCCCTTAACATGCTGGGTATTGCTGATCCGTGCTGCTGGTGGTCCATGCATGCTCAAAGTTCATTCTTGTCCAGTAGCTGGTTCTCCCTGAGATTCCCTGAGCTTTGGACTCCTTTAGGCTACCATGGAAGCCCTGCAACATGCTCGTATGGGCCGTATGGGCGCAAAGCTCGAGACTATGGGCATTGTGGAGCTCGAAGATCTTATTCTGAAAGTCGAGGGGCATCTGAGGGTGCTGAAGGCGCAATTGGTAGACAGTCAAGAAGTCCGAGTCAACGTCACGCAGATGTCTGGTCGTACGATCCCACTTCGTGCGCGAGCCAATTCCACAATCCATGCCTTGACGCTGTCAGTCAGGCAAGCCTTGGGACGTGGACTTGCGCCCAACACGGCCATCACCTTAACTTGTCGAGGGAAAAGCCTGGAAGGGCGAAAGACTCTGAAGGACTCCGGTATCCTGGATGGAGAAGTGCTGGCTCTGGTGCTGCACCATTTTGACGAGAGCGGCATAATTGCAGTGACTGAAATGATGCGGAATGGCCTTTCCGAGCTGGAGTTGCGGTCTGGGAGGTTGAGCTCCAGCCTCGGTGACTTGGGGCTTCTGGGTATTATCCACAGCAGTGGAAAAGCGCAAGCTGCGGCAGTGCAACTTGTAGATCGTGCCCGCTCAGCTGCACTTGCGAGAGGTCTGGAGGAGACGTTGACCGAGCTGATGTCCAGCATCGGAGGCTTGGAAGCACGACAACACATGATGGAGCAGCGTGCAGAGTATTGCTTGGCTGAATTTGCAGCTCTTCTTCGCGCTTTGCATGTCAAGAAGCTTGGGCAGCCAGTTCAATGGTATGAGAAGCTCGATTGACGGCGCTTAGAAATGGACTGTCCTGCCCGGAAACCCTTTAATCGTTAGACCCCGAGGACCCTAAGCCCTGCACCCTACAATCGCTGGATCCTGCAAACCCCAGTATCTTGAACCCTAGGTACACAAGACCTTAAACTACCTTAAACCCTAAACCCTAAACCTCAAACCCCAAAACCCAAACACCCGGTGCCTTCGGCTAGGAGGGCTCTGGTCGTCACCTCCCCAAGCGGATGGCCGCCCGGCACAGGGTTTAGGGTTTAGGGTTTAGGGGTTTGGGGGTTTAGGGTCTTAGGGTTTACTGGCAGCGTTGGCGTTAAGCGGGTTTTTAGGGGCTTGGAGTTTATAGGGCTTCCTGCATGGACTGTAGGGTTTGTAGGGTCCATAGGGTTTGGAGTTTAGGATTTAGGGGGTCTTGCGGGTAGAGGCCTGGAGGGTTCAGGGTCTGACGGTTTTAAACCACTGAGCCCTAGATCCTAAACCCTAAACCCTCAAGTCGGGTTTCAGCACTAACGAGACTCCCCTTAGACAACCCTTAACGGCGGATATGCGGGGCTGCAAGGCACGTGGTCCCCACAGCCAAGAAGCAGTAACTTCAGGACGCCAGGTTTGGGGAGTAGGGGTTGGCAGGGCATAGAACCACCCAAGCCGCCGAACAGGTGACACACTGCTGGTCCAATCTGTTTCTTCATCTGGCTGCCTGGCAGTATTGATCCTAGAATTCTGAACACCCCCAAAGTCGAAACCCCTTCGCCCTTCCACTTCCCGGTCTGAACGCGGAGAAATATATGGCATATAGAGGTTCGATGTAGTGGTGCACCTCGTTCGAGCCTGTCGAGGTCCTTTGCAGCCTGATTGTAGTTCTTCTTGGCGCGTTCTGGCCCGGCCCCAGTCTCTGGGTGAGTGTAGACGTGTAGACTTTGGAGGGCATACCTCAGCTGAGGTTGCGTCGGTCGTCTCCGATGCCCTGGACGAAGGTGAGTACAAGGCAGGGCACCCACATCCTCATCAGTGCGCAGATGTTTTGGTTCCCTCGCCACTGGCCCCTCCACCCCCCCCAAACATCTCAAATCCTGCATCCCCCCCCTCGATAGTGAACCAATGTGACATGGCAAGGCAGAATGCCGACGACACACACACACACACATGAATGGCTGCTTGCAGTAGCAGCCGTCTCCTACGTGTCATCTGAGAATTCGGCGACGTAGCAATTCGAAGCGAATCGTGGGGATGGGGGCGGGGTGGGATGGGGGATGAAGGTTACACGAATACACAAGTTAGGTTTGTTGTTTGTTCTGGCTCTGATTGTCAATTGGGGAGGTTCCTGGGTTATTGTCAGGAACTCAAAGGAAGTTGCCATGGTAGGGTTACACAGCACACAATATAGCACCCTTCTTTAGGGTACTGGAATTCAAGTTCCTTAGCAAGAGTCCGGGTTAGGTTGGGGAGAGACCCGTGTCCGATCAGGAGATGGCCGAATGTCTGGCTGGCGGCCGATTGCAGGAGGCCGGGGAAAGTTCCAGTTGTTTTCCGCGCGGCTTTCCAAGATAGGATTTTGAGATCGTGTCCTTTTGGGTTGAGGTCTTATGCGAACAACCGACCTGCTTGAAGGCACACAAGCATGGAGCTATGCCCTGAACCCTAAACCCCACCCTAAACCCCATCCACCACCCTCTTCCCCTCCGAGCCCCGACCCCTCCAAATGGTGCATTGCTGACTCTTAGCTTTTCACCACAATGAGGCACGTCAACCACATAAATCGAGCAGTGTATGTATGTGAATGTTTTTTATATTTATGTGTATACCCTTTTCCTGCCTAGCTATTATAATATGTGTATGTATGAATACTATATACGTGTCATCTATGTACATGTATATGTTGTGTGTGTGTGTGTGTATATGTATATATGTAGAGTATCAACATATACGTAATGTATGTATGTGTATATGTATACATACATATATATATATATGTATGTCAATTGGATTTTCATTCTTCGGGATACTGTGGCTACCCCCTAAACCAACCATCCTAGCCGCTTAAAACTACCCGAACACCGGCCCGCGGGCCTAAACCCTAAACCCCAAACCCCAAACCCCAAACCCTAAACCCGCGGCGGAGGTTGAGAGCCGCTTGCATGCCGCTGGAGCCGAGACCGTGAGATATTGGGTTTGCGCCTCGCCATGCCTCGAGAGTAATATGGGTTTGGGGTTTTAGGGTTTAGGGTTCTAGGGTTTCGGCCTTAGGGAATTAGGGTTTTAGGGCTTAGGGTTTAGGATGTAGGGTGGCAGTTGAGGGCCTGCTTGGGTTGAGGGCCTAGAATTTCGGGGTTGACGTATGCAGGGTCTAGGGTGCCGGATTTATGTCGCAGCCGCCAGGAGGCATGCCTCGGCGGCGACGCTTCCGGGCAGCCCCTAGACCCTAGACCCTGAACTCCAATGACAGAGGTGCCTTCTGTGTGAACCAGCACGCGTCCATCTGTCACGGATTTGGCCTGGCGCCGGCAGATCCCCAAAAGTACGAGGCTGGTGGGTTTGGGGTTTGGGGTTTAGGGTTTAGGGTTTAGGGTTTAGGGTTTAGGATGTTTAGGGTTTAGGGTTGAGGGTTTAGGGTTTAGGGGTGTTGAGATGTCATGGAGGGCTTGGGATGCTTCGTTGGCATTGTAAGTGCATTCAAGCGGGCTGGAGCATTTCCTAGTAACCCAACGTACCCACAACATACGACGATCTTGACAACATAGGGTTCCCCCCCCCCCTCCCACAAAAAAGGACACCCCCTTGATAGCCGTTGAAAGCAGTATGCAGGAATGGGACTTGAAGCGACGAGACTCCGTGACTGGACTGCCCTTTCCGCTTTGCGACTGCAATCACCCCAAGTTCTTGAACGAAGCGATGGAGCAGTGCGAGCTGAATAAGTTCGACGATGCGCTGTGGCTGGCTGTGGCATTGCGCTTTGCTTATGTGTTTTTTGGTTCTTGTTACATTTTATTATATTTTTATTTTATTTCGGATTGTACGTTTGTTATTGTTGTTATTGCTGGTTGCTGCTCTTCGAATCCCCGAATCCCAACACTGAATATGCACCTCGATAGAAGTAGATGCTTATGGTGACACCCACCCCATATCCTCGGAAAGATGCAAGTCAATTGAAGCTTCCCATCTTTCACTTGAGGTGATCGACTTTCTGAATAAGGCGGTTCCCCAGTTTGCGCAGGTCGTGAGCGTGGACACCAAGTATGAGGTCTTTGAGAGGCCCAAGCCCTAAACCATTCGGAGCCATCAAGCGTGGATACCCCAGCACCCTCGGATGCCAAAGCAGCAATCGAGCCCCATCTAGAACCTGGACTTCCCTGAGCCCTGAACCCTGAAACCTAAACCCTAAACCCTAAACTTTAAACCCTAAACCCTCGCAGAAGCGGGCAGCAAGAGTCACTCGAGTCTTTCTCTTACACAGGCACAGCAGGAGAACAAGCTATACACACGCTGTCACTGGTCTGTCTGAAGTCTTTCTGAGTCTTGTGTAACTGTACAATATCTCCTCCTGCATCAGCCTTCGGGCCAACACAGCATCAGCATCATGAGCAACAACGCCCCACAAAGTAAAACAGCGAAACCCCAAAAAACACATCAAGCCAAGGCCCATTTCGGGCTCTGAGGCGTTGACCTTGCCAGCGCGCTCCCCCTTTTTTGGGGGTTCTGCACATGGCAGCCACATACGTTGCAAGTCTTCAGCCTATGATCTCCTCACGCAAATCAATCATTTTGAAACAGTGGCGGCCATCCAAGTTCTGGGATGACAGGAGGGCCAAGACTAGTCGAGCATCGCATCATGCTGAGCATCAGGGTCAGAGGCTCTCTGGGCCGGGAAGTGCGTCTGGGCGGTGGCCCTTAAAAATCCTGTGTCGGGGCTCTCCATCGAGGCAGGATCACTCAGAACCCTGAAGCGTGGAGCGCGATTGTTTAGTCGAAAGACTTCCTGTTGAACCTCCTCGCTGCTCCAAACTCTAACGCCCGGAGCTCTACGGGGACCAAAGAGCACGAAATCATCAACGTACTGAAACATCACTCCCCCTCCCTGCGTGACAGCCCTTGCATGATTGATATCTCCAGCATCGAAATCATCAAGCGCTAGATGCGGAGGTTGGGAAGCTGCGTACGCAGCTTGTGCTGCGGCGAAAGCGATCTGAGTTAATCCCTCTGCTTGATGAGTTGCTTCCGGCTCGGTGTCAGGCTCTGGGGCATACACTGGTAGAAAGGGTTGAGGGAGAGCTCTTGTCTGGGGAACCCTACGCCTACGCAAGCTTGAAGGATGAGGTTCTTCGTCTTCAAAGGGCTCAGGTTCAGGGTCCACCTCTCCTGGGTCTTCAACTCCAATTGTAGGTTCCCTCTGGCCCGAATGCATCCAACACAAAACGCGCTTCAAGGCCTCCCAAAGGACTATTGCGGAAAACGCAACTGCCACACACAGCACAGCAGTGAGTTGTTGAGTTCTGGAATTAGGGGCTTCGTGGGGTTGGGCAGTAGTAGCACACAAGCAGCACGCCATGACTAGTGCCCGAAGGATGTTCGCAGCTCCGCCGACCGGAGTCGGGATACTGGTATCAGCGGCATCCTCACACACCCACAAGCCTAGCAGCCTTCTGAGTTCTTTCAGTCTTTGACCCCCGAGGACCTTAGTCCCCACATCGGCCCCATTTGCAACCCCCGCCACGTGACGCAGCTCGTATAACCTCAAACTCAAACGATCTTTCAAATAGTTTGCACGGATTTTAAGCGCACGCGTCCTCCAGCTGCCGCCCTGATCATTAAAGACTGAAACGGCCGACTGGTTGTCGTTGAACAATTCCAAGCAAAGCTCGTTTTGCACCAGCTCTTTCACTAGGTACCAGAAGGCTTCTCCGAAGCATGCTCCGGTGGTGACGCTTAGGAGCTCAGCCTCACAACTGCTATGCGTCATAAAAGCTTGGCTACTAACTGTCCATGCTACCGTGCAGTTGCACCAC